CCCTTCCTTCCTTCCTTCCTTCCTTCCTTCCTTCCTTCCTTCCTTCCTTCCTTTTTTCTTTTTGCTTGTTGGCCATCTCTTTCCACTGGAGTGTATTTTCCACAAGGACAAGAATTTCTGTCTCCTCTATTTACTTCTGTAACACATGTACCTATGAGGAAAAGATGTCGTCAAATACATGTGGAGTGACTGGGAGCTTCCTGGGCCAGCTCAAAGCTCTTCCCAGTTCTCCTAAGCTGTACTTGTCCCCACAGAGGCAACTTCTAGGTCAATGCTTCTCAGTGTTTCTCTGTCTGGTGTACTCCTTTGGTATCTGATACACAATGACTTGTAAGAAGGGGGAGTTGGGCCGGCGGTGGTGGCGCACACCTTTAATCCCAGCACTCGGGAGGCAGAGGCAGGCGGATTTCTGAGTTCGAGGCCAGCCTGGTCTACAGAGTGAGTTCCAGGACAGCCAGGGCTACACAGAGAAACCCTGTCTCAAAAAACCAAACCAAAAAAAAAAAAAAAAAAAAAAGAAGAGGGAGTTGGTTGCTTATGGTTTTGAAGGCTGGGATATTCACGATAAGGTGGCAGAAGGTTTGGTGTCTGACAAGGGCCATTCTCTGCGTCAGGAGGGTGGGGAATGAATGCTATGCCTTTACACACTCAAAGAAGTACCAAAGATAACAAGTCTACCCCACCAAACCTTTCTGTAAGGTTGCTAATTCCTTCTGAGATATTTGCAATCTTTGCTAGTGAGCTATCAGTAGCAAACACAAATCTCAGCTGACAAACTCACGTGTGCCAAGAAAAATGTGACTTTGTTATTCCTGGAATCCAATGTCTAGTTTATCCAGATATCGAACTCTTTGGTAGTGTTGGTAATCCCCCTTCCCCTTGTTCTAGGGAAGTTAAGGGGCCTGGGAGGAGTAATGAAGAGTCCCTGGTGTCACCTGCTCACACCAACACCCGTGGTGATGTCCACAGTGATATGTTTAAGGACCAACTAGGCAAGTTGCTGCAGCAGTGTGTGTGCATGTGTGAAGAAGCCTGTGGCTTCTTCGGGTCTGCATGGGCTCTGTGACTTCTCTGCCTCTCTTGGTGATAATAAGCTGTTGTTTGTTCCAGGCTATGACAAGGTAGAGCAGCTCTCTAAGGCTGTCTGAGACTCTATTTACCCTAGTGTCATTCCTGTGTGGACTCTGATGGTCTACCTGGTGCTCTGCTTAGTTCTGGCTTTCCACAATTCAGTCTGGAAATCCTTCTGTCCCTCTGGGGCTCAATTTTTGGGTAAAGAGCATGGGTCCTCTCTCTGGGACTCACCGACACCATTGTAAAGGGCTTTCCCTCCATCTCCTGATTTTTCCCTAGGCAAGGGATTCTTTTATAACACAGCTATGGGGGCCAATCTTAGTCTTACTTCCTGTCCGTGCTGTGAATGTTTTGCTTGTCTGTACAGGCCTGGGCTTTTGAAACTTGTGACTAGAAAGAGACACTCATCCTGATTGTATTTGACAGTCACTCTGCCTTCAGGAGCAGAGAATAACTAGCCTGTCTTTTTCTTGTTTTGACAGGCTCTCACTGTGTAGCCCTGGCTGTTCTAGAACCTGCTATATATAAACCCGCCTTGCTCTAAACTCACAGAGTCTCCGCCTTCCAAGTCCCACCATGCCTGCCTTTAAGCTGGCTATTTTACTGAGAAGAAAGATGAAGGAGCTAGGGAGAGTGACTTAGGCGGAGAAAGCAGTGACGTACTTAATAACACACTTGCTCTGTTCGATGAATTTGATGGTGATAAGGGTGGCAGCGGTAATGATAACACCAACATCTATTGAGCACTAAGTGTATGCCAGGGCCAATCGTAAGCACCCTCTTTTCCTGACACCCCCATCAATCATCCCAATAACTCTGTGCATTGTGTATTCATCTCAATAATCCATCAAAGCGGCTGACAGCTAGAAAGGCAAAGAGACTAGTGGTCCCCACCATATGCAGAGGATGAGACTGGACTTCGTACATTAGCCTGCCCCCAGTGTCTGTGTTCAACCAGCACACCTCCCAGCCTCCTGGCAGCATCAGTAGAGCCCCTGGTCCTCAGGCCACAGACACAGGGAGTCATTTTATTTCTCCATAATACTTCAATAGGCTCCCCTTCCATCCCCACCCTGGCACAGGTGAGCTGCCTCATGGTGTGCCTACCATCGACTTCCCAGCCTGGTCACTCTCTCTGCTCTCCTCTGTCCTCTCATTTCCTTTCATACTTCCAAACACTCTTGGTCTCTCGCTCTTGGTTTCCCCTTACTAATAACATACAAACTTAGCCAAGAGCTCAGACCACAAAAGAGACGAGAGAGCAAGAGCACATAGCCAGTAGAGGGCAAGCCCTGCCCACTGGGTCCATGGGCTCTGCAAAAGGGGGGAAGAGGCCCAGGATCCTATGATTTGTGCTCTTGTCGGTCTCCAGGCTCTGCTTTCTGGCCACCATGAGTATGCTGAGGCTAGACCTCCCAGGTTCTTCTGCAGGAAGGCAGAACATCTTTTATTAAGTGGGATACCCATGATTTCAGGATTCTCTCCAATTCTAAAATATCCATTGCTGTTTCTTTGAATTAACACGCTGAAGATCCTATCAAAGCAGCTGAAAGCTAGAAGAGTGAAGGGACTAACGGCTCCCACCACAGGGATGAACAGAGGTACAAAATTCAGGTATATTCCCACCATAGCATGGCTAGGCTAATCTAGCCGGCTTAGACCAGCAGGCTTCTACAGGACCGTCTCTTTGATGGGCAACGGGAGGGAGAGGAGGGAAGTTGGAAAGTGGTGCGGGGCTTTGGTACAGGGGATGTGAGGATGCACGGCTTCTCCCCAGGTGACGATTCCATCAGCACGCTGGGCATGATCCTTGGAGTGGGACTGTCTCTGCTGCTCATGTCCATCCTAGGCTACAGTTTGGCCAAGTGGTACCAGCGCGGGTACTGCTGGGACGGTGAGTGAACCCCATGCCAATCAGCCCCAGCTCTGCCCTGCCCTTCCCCGTTGTAGGAGTTGGGCAAGGCTGGAGGGGGGTGGCAGCCTTTCAGCACAGCAGGATGCAAAAATATTTCCTCTGGTGGTTGCAGTGGTTGAAGATTTGAGTTGGTAGCTGAGCAGCGGAGGCGAGGCTTGGAAGGAGGGGTGGGGTCTTTATCACGAGAATGAAGGCTCCTCTCACTGGAGGAAGTAGCCTTCCTTTTTTTAACCCTTCCCCATCCCCTTCTCTCCCCCTCCTCCCTCCCCCTCCTCCCCCAAGGCTAAAGGCAGAGCCTAGAAGACCATAGTGCCAGGCTGGTTCTTATATGCTAGTCTCTGTTTGTCATCCCGCCTCCCCACTCTGCCCCTGGCTTCCCAAGCCTGCTGATGCATCTTCTGGAATTTGCTTTGGTCTTTTCATCTGGAGAGGCAAGGAAAGCATGCTGGAATGCTGACAGAGAAAACCTCCCAGTTGTGTGCATTCCCAATTATCTGCTGAGCACCTGCTGTGTCCCAATGTACTTTTCCTTGGTGTGGATTATTCCACAGAATAAAGAAGCTATTATACTTTTTCTTGGTTTTAGACATGGTCTTGATATGAACACCAGGCTATCCTCAAACTCTCCATTTTCCTGCCTCAGCCTAGAGAGTTTTGGGAATATAGCCAAGCACCACATGTCCAGCTCCAGCATCTCATTCTCTCTCTCTCTCTCTCTCTCTCTCTCTCTCTCTCTCTCTCTCTCTCCTATTTATTTACTTACTTACTTACTTACTTACTTACTTACTTATTTTTTTTAGACAGTTTCTAGCCCAGGTTAGCCTTAAATTGCCTATGCAGCTAAGGATAACCTTAAACTTCTGATTCTCTTGCCTCCCAAGTGCTAGGATTACAGCTGTTCATGACCACACCTAGTTTATGCTGTGTTGGGGATGGAACCCAGGACTTCACACACACTAGATAAGCACTCTACCAGCTGAGGGACATCTCCATCCCTCAGCTTTCATTTACTGTAGTAAACAAGAGCGTGTGGTGAAAATCCCAGGGTTGGTACATGGTGGAGTCTGGAGTGAAGCTTAGGGCTGGTTCTTTGGGGGGCTCTTGGATAGAACTACTTCCTTCCAGGGGTGATCAGAGCTTCTGATGAAAGGATCCCTGAAGGATCTTGAAAACCACATTGAACATCTCGAGGCCAGACTATTTATACTACAGGCAGGTGGGGGAAGCACCAGATGTTCCTCGAGGCACGACAGTCACTTCCCTGGGGATCCTAACTCTCTTTTTGGTTTGTCTTCCCAGGGCCTAACTTTGTCTTCAACTTATACCAAATCCGGTGAGTAGGTCTAGGGCAGAACTGGGTGGGCTGGCACTGGGGCTATATATAATGGAGAAAGAACTAGAGGCAGAAATGGAATTTACTGTTTCCCTTTCCCGGCTCTGTCCATGCAAACCAGAAAGATATCATTTAGAGAAGCTCTCAGAGCAAAACCTGTGCCTACAGCAGTACCGTGTGAGGCCCCAGTGATAGCCTTCACCTTAGCACTCACTCTCAGGCAGAGAACATGCCCCCCATTCGTTCATCCATCTACCCACTCACACACTTATGTACAAACTTGCCTACTCATTCATCCATCTACCCACCCATTCATCTATCCACCCATTGGCCCAACCACTTACCCACTTATTCATTCATCTACCCATCCACCCACCCACTGCTCACCAATATATCTATGTGCTGCCCACCTACTCTAACCTACCCACCTACTACTCATTCATGAATCCATCCATTTGTTCATGAACATATGGATCTATGCACTTATCCATGCATGTGTCTCCATCCATCTACTCACCTACACATTTATCCATCCATCCAACCATCCATCTATCCATCCATCCATCCATCCATCCACACATCCATCCATCCAACCATCCATCCATCCATCCATCCACCCATCCATCCACATATCCACCCATCCATCCATCCATTCACCTACACATTTATCCATCCATCCACTCATCCATCCATCCAACCATCCATCCATCCACCCATCCATCCATCCATCCATCCATCCACCCACCCATTCATCCATCCATCCATTCATCCATCCACCCATCCACCCATCCACCCACCCATCCATCCATCCACCCATCCACCCATCCATCCATCCATCCACCCATACACCCATCCACCCATCCACCCACCCATCCATCCATCCACCCATCCACCCATCCATCCATCCATCCATCCATCCATCCATCCATCCATCCATCCATCCACTTACTCACCCATCCACCTGTTTATTATTTATTCAGTAAAGTTTTATTATATAGCCAGTTTTATCGTAGTTATTTCCAAGAGTACAAAGATGGCTTGGCATAGTCTCTGCCCCTGAGCCTGATTGCAAATAAAGAAATCTCAGGCACAATATAGGAATCAAAACAGAAGAGCAATAAAAAAAAAGCCATGGATTTGAGGAGCAGAAGTCAGAAAGACCTCTCAGGGTAAAAGCCATTTCACTATTCCCTGCAGGCCCGCTTCTCCTCTGGCCCTGGGAGCTGAGACAAACAAATCTTATTCTGGAAGATAAGTCAGTGCCCAGACATCACCTCTGCTTCTAGGACCACTTTGTAGGCTCTAGTCTAAGGAGACAGGCCCTGGGGAGAGGCTGGGTTCTCAGTTTAGCAGCTTTATTGGAAATCTGTCTCAGGAACCTGAAGGACTTGGAGGTTGGACCACCCTTTACCATCAGCGGTCACATGAGCAGTACAGATGGCGGCTACATGAAGTTTTCCAATGAAAGAGTCTGATGGAGCAGTTTCTAGCTTCTGAAGGTCAGGAGAGGTGAGTGGCAGGACAGGAGAACTGAGTGAGTCTGATGCCAGAGTAAGGTCCTACATGGGTCCAGGCTGTGAAGCCAAGTGTCAAGGGCCACTCAGAACATGAATAAATGATTCAATCCCTCTACTCTTTCTTGGGAGAGTCAGGCCATCTGGACCTGGCATAGCAAAGCCCTTCCCAAGCTCTCTTTTCAGTATCTCTTCTCTTTACACAGGAAAGGCTCCAGGGTCATCATGAGCCCCTGTAGCCTTCCTGGGCCCTGAAAGTCTGACCTGGCTCCGAGTAAGGAGACTAAGGAGTCTCCTCTGGGTCTTCTTCCGGCCCTCGTAGAGTTAGGCCTGTGTGGATGGGCCTGACCAGGCTTAGCAGTCTTCTCATGGGACACAGAGAAGCAACTGTTCCCCAGGGTTAAAAAACTGGATTTCAAGACGCCCCTGGGCTGTAGGACTTGCAAAGTCCTGCAGACACAGCGTGACAAATCACAGCCAGGCCAGCCTTCCTCCTGTCAAATGCAGGGTGGAAATGTCTCCCAGACTCCACAGGGTAGATGTTCATTTGCAATCTCCTGTCATTTCATTTTGTAAAGTTCTGCCAGGGGCTGGGGAGCCAATCCTTTTAATTAGGGAGTCATGTGATCAAAGGGGTGATTTCAGACATGTTTTTTAAATTTTATTTTCATTTATTATTACTTATTTATTTTATTTGTATGAGTACACTGTAGCTGATTTCAGACACACCAGAAGAGGGCATCAGATTCCATTACAGATGGTTGTGAACCACCATGTGGTTGCTAGGAATTGAACTCAAGACCTCTGGAAGAGCAGCTAGTGCTCTTAACCTCCAAGCCATCTCTCCAGCCCCTTCAGACGTGTTTTTTAACCTTTCCATTTGAGGCCAACTTCCCTGAAGGCTGAACTTGGGTCTTTATTCTGTCCTTTACTTCTCTGTGTTTGGTTTGGGCCTTTTCCACACTTCTCCCCTTTGCTGTCTCCCTCTGACTAGTTTTCTCTATAGTGACAAGCCTCAGTGCCCACCACACATGAGCAGAATAGTCTAGAAACCGTGTCCCTGTTGTTTAGGCTCCTGAGATGGGGTGCACATCGTGCCCAGGGTAAGTTCTACTCTCCATCTCTGCTGTCCTGCACAAAGCCAGCCCAAACTGGCTAGCAGCTAGAGCCATGGAGCCATGGGAGACGCCTGGTTGAGGTTGAGCAAAGCGGCTAAGGACTAGGACTGCAGAACACGTTACCTCCGGGGTCATGGCTTCCTGCTCTGCCTGTGACCCACTGGACTGAAGGCAGAGCTGGTACTAGGAGATTTAGTTCAGCCTGTGTTTGGTATAAAGCGGCTCCATCCAGAGAGGCTGCATTTCCTGGAGCAGCCATGAATGGAGGAAGCCGTAAGGGACCTGGGCTGCTCAGGCCTGCCACTGGATCAACCAGCCCCAGTCCTAGGCTGAAGGATGCTGAAGTCAAAGCACAGACAGGAAGGGGCGGTCTGGCCATTAGTTTGCTGTCATTACCCTCGTTTTTGCTGAGGCCCCTGTGTTTTCTGATTTTTGTTTTTCTTCTTGTTCCTCTCTCTGGCCTATGGCAGACTGTGGAGGAAGGAATGCGCCAGGCCTACTAGGTCCTTCCTGTTTCCTGCCAGGGGTGGGGTCCTTTTTATTCCCAGCTCAGCTGGGCTTGGACACAACACACCAAGCCTTAGGATTTGGAAGCCTTTAACTGGGTTTTCTTTCCTGAAAACCTTTCCTTTGTTGAGTATGAAGAGGGATTCTTCATGACTTTATACCCCTCTTCCTTTCTCAAAGAACTCTTGGGAGTGATGGAGAAAGAGGATGCTGCTACCTTTGGCGTCCTTCTTCCTTGCATACCACCTCTGCAAGCTGGACCCCGCTTCTGAACGGTTATGCAGCTCCAATAACACTTTCAATTCTGCCCTGGTTGGCATGGCCTGTGGGGTCCCCTGGGTCCCTTGGAAATGCTCAGGACTCAGTAGACCTTTTGGATACTTGAAGGGAGAATGAGCCTTGAACCCCAGGTAGTTCCGGGCCCAGGTTGTGTGGCTTCAGGTGAGAATCAGGACATCTGCTGAGGACTGGGAGAATGGTGGGTATTTCCCATCCCCAGAAGCAGAAGCGAGAGCGTGTTGCTTCCTCTTTCTGAGCCCACTGACGTGCTCTGTGTCCCCTCTGCACCCCCTTTCTTTCCTTACTTCCGCAGGCCCATGGTGAAGCAGTTTTCTTAACTCCGGACGGTGTCTACACCCTAAGAGTGATAACTTTCTCAGACTGACTAGAATTCAGGCAATAGGTCTCCAAGGCTGGTACTGACTGGGCACTCAGATCCTTGGCTGTACCAGGACCTCCTCCCCATTGATCCTCTACCCTCTGTCTCCAGATGCCCCCCACGGGAGAGCCTGCTGTGTCAAGGGCTACCAGCTATAGTTTCTCTGTTACCCTGTTCCTCTTAAATGTCCTTCCCAGCCTAGAATGTCCTCTTCTCCCGCACCCACAACCTTTCTGTCCACACTCAGACTCTGTGAACTTTAAGTTCCATCTTTCCTGAGACTCACCTCAGGACTCAAGACTAGACACCATTCATTTCAACACCCATGCAGATGGCAGGTTTCCTCCACGTGTCCTGTTCTCCAACTCAGAAGAGCTGATTGTGGCCAGAGGTCCCTAGCAGTCCTGAAATGAAGCTTGCTAAAAGCTTACAGTAAATAAGCTTACTAAATGAACACTGATTTGAGAAGAAACAGAGGGCAGCCTAGCTCTAGAAAAGGATGTCCAGCAGCCTAAGGAAGACCAAACTGCTTACACAGTGTATTTTCATGGATGCTTCTGCATTCTGAGCCTTGTGGCTACCCTGTGACACAGAGATTATTATTGGTCCATTTTACACATAGAGAGACTGAGAGATTCACAAAGCTGGCTTGCTTCGCTCAGGACTGCCTGCTGCCCACAGCCTTTACTGGAGCCTGAGCAGAATCCGTGGCTTACCTCAGGGCTCATCAGGGTTAGGACTGGTTACCATATAAACAGCTCTGGTTCTTTATTCTATCCTGCAGTGCTGAGTGACTGTAAGACTGGTCATGCCACTTATTAGGCCATTGATCTCAGCATTGGGGAAGCAAAAGATAAGACCATTTCTTGAAGGTTACTCTTGGTTCTTACCTTGTCTAGTAAACATACCAGTGGTCTGGGATCACTATTGCTGCTCAGTAAATAGTCAAAGTGTGCAATCACAATATAAAGTGTCAAGTCTAGTTCAATATAAATTGTCAAGCTGGCTGTTGAAAGGTGGCTGTTGAGGTTCCCCCTAGATACCGGTACTTTAGGACTGTAACCACTATACAGTTTGTTTCCTATACCCTGCAGAGATCTGGTGAGTATCGAAGACTAGAGCATCCCTAGACTCATCAATACCTGAAAGGGCACAGACTGATCAGGGCAGGGGCTCCAGGTACCCAGCCTCACTTCAGCCTCACTGGTAGGGAGACAGAGGTTGGGAAAATAGATACTCGGGTAGAGCAAGATAAATTTACATTCCTTAAATCCTTGGTGGCCAGGTTAGAGCATCAGGCCAATGGGCAGCTGCTCTCAGATCCTGAGCTCCCAAGAAACTGGCTCCTTCCTCCAGTGAGCAGCTAACCCCACATAGTACTGGATGGGGTTTTCAGGGCTCAGGCCTCCCCAGGCTTGATGTCAGCTCTGAACTTCCGCCTCCCTTGCCCACTTCCCAGTCCTTCCTTTTATTCTCTGATCCCCACGTCACCCCTTTCTGCCACTCTTCCTCCTGGCTCACGTTTCCCATCCCCCAGGAGCCTTCTTCAAGACTCATGGACCCTGTTCTCATCTGATTTTACTTAGAAACACTCTGGCTGGCACATCTTCACTCTTTCACTCATCCATTCAGTTTCTCTACTCCTCCAGGCACTGGGCTAGGCCCCATGGAGAATCCAGTCTCTCTGGAGATTAGCCTGACCTCTCCTGTCTCACAAGCACTTCCAGCAGGCTGAGTTAGGCTTCACATCTCTTCTAAGTCCCCTACTGTGCCTCATGTACACTTGTGTGTGCATGTATGTGTGTCATGGAGGCAGGAACTACTCAGGAAACTGAGCGAAAGGATTCCTCATCCTCTTGAGGGCATCTTGCACATCACTCCAAGCCTGGTCCATGCCTGGTGCTCTAAAACCAACACGTGTCATCTCTCCTCCTTCTCTATCCTCTGCTACATCCCACCTGTGCATGTGGTGTGATCAGACACTTTTCTAGACAAGGGCACACACAGATGGAAAGCTTTTCTACCAAGGGACAACCTAAGGCACAGTCAAAGCCATAGCATCTTCCTAGCCTTGCCCCAAGCCAGTGACAGTAGATGGGGTCAGGTGACAGGACCTAGGAGACCAAAGTCTATGGTGCCCCCTCCTATGCTTCAGGGGCTTAAGGCGACAACACAGCAGTAGATGGAAGTATCATTATTTTATTCTTAAAAACTGCTTAGTTAGCAAAACCCCAGCGCAAAAGCCAATGCAAAACAGGAAGCCAGTGGCCTGGTGAATTCTCACACTCGGGGACCAGAAGTGAAAATGTTCTGTCTGCCCAGAGGAACAGCAAACCAACAAAACAAAGGGTGGGTGCAGTGCTAGAGACCATAGCCTTGGTGGACCCTGCCCTCCCCACTCTCCAGTACTCCCCACCCTCCCTTCTCCAGTGGAACCGCGGGCTTGGCTTCCATTCCCTAAAGCCTTTGATAGGTCTTCTCGTGCACATGCCGTGGGCTGCTGGGATAAGGGTGGGTGGAAAAAGGAAGAAGTCTCTCCTCTTCTATTCTAAGCCTGGCCTTTGAGGCTTTTAGCTATGAGGCTATTTTACAGTGGGTAACTTCAGTTCCACCATGCTGGGGTGAGGGTGGCAGAGAGGTGAATGGATACTCTCTCTCTCTCTCTCTCTCTCTCTCTCTCTCTCTCTCTCTGGTGTGTGTGTGTGTGTGTGTGCACACGCGTGCACGCATGCTTGTGCCTATGCATGCAGAATTGAGCCAGCCAATAGGATCATGTCTTGCTGCCTGTCTCAGGAGGTTTAGTGTGGTGAGTACCCAATGAATGTCTACCCAAAGAGTGGGTGAATGCACCTGAACGCATTCATTCAGCCTCTTCACCCCAGTTTCCTGGTTGTATTACTTTGCCTTACGTCTCGTGTTTGGTCTGTAGCCCTAAGTCCTACACTACATAGGAGCTGTAGGCTGAAGAAAGAGGGGGAGGGAGAAATCATAGATCCGTGTGACTAAGAGGAGAGGATAGCAAACCTGAAATCCAGCTTCCAACCAGTTACCTCTGGCGCCCTCTCTCTTCCAGGTTCAGGGTGACGTCTCCCAAGCACCTGCTCTGCTCAGATTTCCATGACTGTCATAATCATCTTGATGTTTCTTGAACTGTTTTCACCTGCATTCAAATGCTTCTTTGACACAAATGGAAGAGTTCTACCCATTCATGCGTTTGTCTAGTCACCAGACATTTATAGAGTACTTGTCACTATGTACTAGCAGTGGCTGGGTGTAGAGGGCACAGAGGTAAATCAAGGAGTGTTTCTGCCCACAATGAGCTGGAATGAATGCTGGGTAAAGAACCTTCCGTGAAACGTCATAGGGAACTAGTGAAAACAGTCAAGCTTCGAGACACTATCTCTCGTGATAGATATATTCATTTGCAAAGAGTAAATCATACCTAGCATCTGGAGAAGCACTCTTTCCATTCCCTGGGGCTGCCCTTGAGGCCTCCCCAGCCCAGTAGCTTTGCTGTGGTAGTTGGTTAGCCTGAGTGAACAGACATCACATGCTTGCCCTATCTCCACACCCTCCACTCCATACAAGGCCCCACATCACTGGCCCTGTTACCTTATGTTGACTCTTTGTTGGCCTTAGATCCTGAGATCTCATCTTCTATGGCCTGTCATAGACTCCACATCTGAGGCTTCCCGCCTCCACTTAGCGTAGTTAATAAACCACACACCTCACCTCTTCCCAGTGAGCCCAGCAGATGTGCACCTGACTGAGGTATTTCACATCACGGCAGCTGCAGTGGGCACCAAAAATGACACCATTTAACTTTCACCAAGAGCCACGTAGTGACATGTTGGCCTCATGTTGGAAGAACACACGGAGTCTGAGTGGTTCCCAGGGGCTTCCCAGAGCACACTTAGGCAGCCTTGAAACAGCAGAGTGGATGAAGAACATATGCAGACGAGGAACTGGCATGCACACAGGGCCAGGGGCATGCACAGCAGTTTGTTGGGGGGAGGCAGGTGGGTATGAGGGCTGGTAGATCCGGGTGAGGATGTGAAAGGGAAGGGTTGAGAAGGGACAGGAGGTAGCAGGGAGGTCTTAAAGGACCTTCTGGTTTGAGCAGAAGCTTTTGAGTATTGTCTTACAAACTATCCAGTGGAACTCAGACCTCAAATTTACATTTTCAACTCCTCAGCCCAGTCAACAGTGGGGAAGATTATTTAGTGGTAAGGGACGCTGGAGGGGAAAAAAAATTGACCAGGAGGCTGTGGCAAGTGGTCCCAGAGAACAGAGGATGACTCAAAGTGGGTAGACGTGGACAAAGCCGGGTGGGAGAGCTGCAAGGCCACCAACAAGGCCAGGCTAAGGGGACATCTGACAGTTACCCTTTTCCACTAGGTGAGGCCTCACAGTTCCCGCAGCTGCGTGAGTGGGGTTGTTATTAACCATCATGGAAACCAGCAGAGGCAATCCAAATTGAGGAGGCAACGATGGCTCCAGTGTAGAGACATCTAAAACCACCAAAGCACTGGAGGAATGGATGTGGATCGGGAGTCATGGAAACAGGGATCGGGAGTCATGGAAACAGGGATCAGGAGTCGTCATGGAAACAGGGATCGGGAGTCATGGAAACAGGAGTCATTGGGGTGATTCCTTGGGGTGGGGGGAGTCATTTTCAGGGTAGTCGAGACAGGGGCTAAGGATGGGAACTGTTGTGTTGACGAGTTGGAAGTACTGCAGAGAGGCTGCAGGGCTGCAATGGTGTTGGCCACACAACATGCAGACTGTGCACAGAGTGCAGCACCAGGCCATGGGTGGGACAGTTCTTCCAAAGAGCTGATTAGGCAGGAGGAGGAAGGTGGTCCCATGTCTACCCTTCCTTTACTTATGCCCAACTCTGCAGGTGGGATAATTGACTGAAGGGACCATTTGGCTTTTTCCCTCACCCTGCTTATGGGCTGTGACTGTCTGAAGACCTCTGAGGCCCAAGGCTCATGGCCTGCTGAACTCGGGCATGGTTCTGACACTGTGGACCAATATGATGGCTGTCTACAATTCCTAGATAATGAGTCGGGGGAATAGCTTGAGTTTATGGGCTGTAGCTGGCCAGGGATCCTCTCAGACCTGTGTTCTTGTCTCTATGCCATGATGATAGCTCTACCCATGATGAAAGTCTCACAGAGAACATAGAACATTCACCTTGAAATCTCCAGCTCTAAGCCCTAACCCAGTGCTAGTGTCATCCCTAGAGCCACTTCAATTCTTTCCTCTGCATAGCATACCACTATTGAGCCAAAGGCTCAGCATCTTGGGGATCCCTGTGGCCCTGCCCATCCACGCCATGTTTTCCCTTCCAGGCTCTTATCATGGACTGCTCACCATCAATTTCAACTGGCAGTGTCTCCAGCCTGTTGGCCTGTCCTGATCTTTGTTTGAAGCATCCTTTGAACTGGTTCACTCTTCTCTATCCCCACTGCCGTTGCCCAATATATATGTATAAGCATCTGTATGGACCGAATGTTGGTGACCCCCACCCCTCAGTGTTGAAGCCCTAACCCCTAATATGACGGTGGGTGGGGCCTCATGGAAGATTATTAGGTGAATTCATGATGATGGGGCCTCATGCTGGGATTAGTGTCTTCATAAGAGGAAGAGACCAGTGGTATCTTTTTCTATCTCTGAGACCACAGCTCCGAGGTACCTGTGGACAATGAAGAAAGCCCTCAGTGGGGACTGGATGAGCCAGAACCTTGATCTTCAACTTCCTAGCCACCAGAACGCTCCTAGTTAAAGCCCTGCCCCCCTGGCTGTGTGCTCTCTTACATCTAGAGTGATAGCAGCTTCCCTTCCTTCTTACTTACTTCCTGTCTCATCCCTAGAGTTGGACCCTAGTTTCTTTCAAGGCACTTGTCACAGATGGCAGCACTTGTTAGTACTAGATTGCTTGGCGTTCATCTTTAGAACCAGATGTTGTGCTCCGTGAAAGCCAAGGCTGAATATCACATCTGGTAGGTAGGGGGTGACCACTGAAGAAACGAAAAGCCGTGCTGGTGAGATGGGTCAGCGAGGAAAGACCCTTGCGCCTGGCCTGATGACTTGAGTTCTCTCTGTAGAATCCATACAGTGGAAAGAGAGAACCAACTCTGCCAGGTTGTCCCCTGACCTCCATATATGTAACACACACAGACACTAAAACAATAAACATAGAAAAAAACCCTCAAAATTGAATGTTGGGTTTAATAAAGCTCTTCCTGGTTCCTGCCTGGTTCCTTTTGTTGAATGATTTATGCTTTGGCTAGAATCACTTTTTAAAAAACACTAAGTTCATCCTAACCCAGTCCTTTCTCATTAGTGCCAACAGGTTCTCAGCACTCTGGTTTGGAGGTTTATGGGAAATCCAGTAAAGTTCAGATCACTCTGATAGTGAGGAGGCACCATAGGCCTTCTCATTAATAACAATACACTTAATTTTAAATTGTGGGTTGTTTCAAAAGAAACCCTCAAACCCATGAGCTCTGCAGGAAATGAGTGAGTCAGGTTTCTCAGTATCGGGTGTCCCATCCGTGGGGGTGATAGCATCAGTACCCAGCTGCCTGGATACGCCACTCAGGCTTTCTCTGCTGTCCCAGGCAGGCAGCAGCCCAGGCTCCCCTTTCTCTATCCTTCACATGAGGGGCTCTGGGAACTTTCACCCAGTGGTGCAGGTGTTGTGTGTGTTCTGTGGGTGGTATCCAGACTCCCAGGGTGCTGAGTATTCTGTGGGTTCTGCAATGTGGGCTCTGTGTGCATGACCTGACTTTTTAGGGGGCTGCACATTCTGTCACTGTGCATATGGGGTGTGGGAAGAGGTATTTGGGGGGCAAGGCAACCTCTCAACTACACCTATTTACAAATTTGGGGAAACACGGTTTGACAAAATTTCCTTCTGTCAGTATGAGCCCATTTCCCCTCTCTCTTTGCTAAGAGGAAGTTCCATGAGCTCACAGAAACCCAGAACCACACATTCCTCAGTCTGGAAAAGCCCTTGAAGAAGGTAAGTCAGCTGAAGACCAACTGGGGCCTTCTGTTGGGGACTTTAGTCTGAATTCCAGAGAAGCCTGAACAGAACATTTTATCGGCTGCTGCCTGGAAGAGTCCTCGAGGCTTCCCCAACACCCTGGCTGAACCAAGGAACAATTTGATGTTCCCTCCCCCTGATGGTTTGGTTCTAGACTGCCCATGCCCACGGCCCATCTGTGCCTCCGATCTGTCCTGCAGGCCTTCAGGTTTTCTCTCCCAGCTGAACTGGGTCTCCTCTCCACAATGATCAGTTCTCATCTCTCTTATCCATCTCATGCTCGGGCTCCTTCCCATGTGCTTCAGGGGCTTTTTCCATGGAGAAGAAGCCATCCCAGCACCATTTCCAGGAAAAAATGGTCACCACACTTCTCTTTTCTAAGCCAGCCAGGAGGTCCCCCGAGTGGATATATGCTCATGTCGCATGCACATGTGTGGTGCAGGGGGAGGACCAGGGTCTTTCCTGAACAGCCTTTCAGAGTGAACAGGGAAAGCATGTGGGAGATAGGGCAAGAGACAGGGAGAGACAAGGTGTCTTGGTCATCTCCTTAGACACACAGACACCTGGAACTCAGGCCCTGGCCCAGGCCTTAGGTTTACTGCACCCACACTGCTAAGTTCGGGGAGTTGTGCCAACTGATACATGGAATGTTGTGGAAAATGCCTTACAAACAGGACCCAGGAGGCTTCCAGTCTATGGGAAGTGCCTAGACTGTCTTCAGGGTAAGCTGAGCAGGCATAGGGTCCACAGGTCTGGTTCACTTACTTCCGGGGAGGGTCTAGCAAGTTCCACACTGTCAGAACTAATGTCCTAAATAGTTCAATAGACAATAGGGCTGCATTGTCTACTGTTTAGTCTTCTGAAAGAACACACCGGGCACCTCTCTCCTTTTTACCTGTTTCTAAGAGAAAGAAAGTCTATTCCAGCTCTAACAGCCCTGGACAGCTGCTTACATCTGGAATGCCAGATGCAGGGCACCACACTGAGCTGTTCATCCATGATCTCATGTCAACTTCATGACATCACCATGACAACTGTCACTATGGGGGAATCAGAAGCTGTGAGACTATGTGCCTTTCCCAAAGTCACCATTCATGTTGAAGCTGAGTCCGGGGCCCAAATCCTCGGCCCTTGTCTACACCCATCATCCATCACTCCCAGCTCTCATGAGAAATCCAGTCGCTTCCACAAGACACCTGACTTTTTATTGGGCTGAAAACACACACCACTCATTCCATTTGAGGCACATCTGTGTCCACTTTCTCAGTGGGACTCAACACTCTTAGGGATTGGGCACATCGGGTACATTTCAATATTCAAGTTTTACATACAGACGGAAAAACTGAGGCTCCACGAGGAAACGTGACTTGCCCAAGGTCACACAGCTAGAAATGGCGAAGGCAAAACTAGACCTCCTGAGAGACCCAGGGCCTTGTGCCGCACTGCCTCCTCAATAAATAAATAAGTAAGCAAATAAATAAATAAGGTTCCGAGGGGATCTCAAAGAGCTTTCCCAGTCCCAAAAGGAGCTCTGGTACCAGACTAGCATCATGACATTCTTGACAGGATGCCAAAGTTCATGGCTGGTCTCACCAGGTCACATAGTCTATATTTGGAAAGCTTCAGAGAAAATTCTGGTCTCAGGGATCAGCGGCCTTGTGGTTTCTCTCCACATCCTTGCTTGGGGGGCTGCAAACACCCTCTGTTTAAAGACAGGTCTTAAATGCAGCACAGGGAAGCAGGGACTAGCCCTGGACCCCAGTGACTAGTAGCTATCTTGGCACAAGGCCTCTAGGCTCCCACGAGATCTCTGAAACATTGGCATGAGGCAAAAGCTGCCCATGGGCAGATGGTTTCCATAGTCCACTTCCTTCCGGCCCAGAGGTTGGCAGGACCTAAAGTATCACCCCAGGGCCAAGTTGGTTAACATTCAGCATGAGGGACTTCCGTATGATCTAGTCATTATTTTAGTCCCCTGAGGAAGCAGCTGGTCCAAGGTCACACAGCTGAGCACAGAGGTGTCAGCCCAACACCCTATTCTCTGGGTCTGCAGTTAGAAATTAGCAGCAAAAGCAGACATAAGTCCTAAGCCTGGGCCAGGACCCAAGCCCAAAGGCCACCTACAGGGTAGTGTGCTAACACAGACAGCCATTGTTTTGTTTGGTCTGACGTCACAATAGTGAGCAGCAGGCAGCAATGGCTTAGCCACTGCAGGTAATTCAGGGGACACAGCCGTATTAAAAAGATGAAGATGTCTGCAGATGGCTAGTACAGACGCCTCACAAGAGGAACAGAAATTCTGGGTCTCAGTCCCTTTTGCCCCACAGTTCTGAATTGACTGGCTGATCATTCAGGGCAGTGTGTACCCTGAGATCTCCCAGCGACAAGTAACCTGTCTAGCCGGGGAGCACCTCTACACGACAAAATTAAACCTGGCTCCTGCTCTGCCTTTTGTCTCTTGAGCTCTCCCTTCACCCTGCAGCAGGCTAGTCACTCCAGCACCTCCACAGACATCCAAGTGGATCTGACTTCAGACCTGCAGTCTTACCACATCCAGAAAGCCCTAAGGTTCCACCCAAACACAAGTCCTTCCAGCGCAGGACTCTGCCCTGAGGCATGAGGGTCCTTGCTCAGCTCTGCTGGT